GTCGCTGGAGGTCGAGGGCGGCGCCGCCGTGTCCGCCCCCACCTGCAAGCCGAACGCGCCGCCTGTCGCGGGACGCTTCATCAATGATGATGATGGTGATGATGATGATGATGATGATGACGACGACGACAATGACGACGATGATGACGATGATGATGATGATCATGATGATGATCATCATCATCATCATCATCATAATCATGATCATGGTCATGATCATGATGATGTTAATGATGATGGTGATGGTGATAATGATTATGTTGATGATGTTGAAGTTGGTGATGATGGTAATGATTATGATGATGCTGATGATGATGATGGTGATGATGGTGATGGTGATGGCGATCATGATGATGATGATGGTAATAATGATGCTGATCATGATCATGATGGTGATGATGATGATGATGACGGTAATGATGATGATGGTGATGATGATGATGATGATGATGATGATGATGATGATGATGATGATGGCGATGACGATGGCGATGGCTATGATCCGGCGATGGCGACACGATGACGGTGGTACGATGATAAGTTTGATGGCGACGATGATGACGATGACGATGGCGATGAGAATCATGATAATGAGATGATGATGATGATGACGATGATGATGATGGTGATGATGATGATGGTGGTGATGATGGTGATGGTGATGGTGATGGTAATGCTGATGGTACTGGTGATTATGATGGTGATCGTCATGGTGATGATGATGATGATTGTGATGATGGTGGTGATGGTGATGGTGGTGGTGTTGTTGATGATGATGACGATGATGACGATGACGATGACGATGCCGATGATGAAGACGATGCTGTGGGTGATGATGATGCTGTTAATGGTGGTGGTGATGATGATGATGTTGCTGATGGTGATGATGGTGATGGTGCTTATGATGATGGTGATGCTGATCATGGTGACGATGCTTACGATGATGATGTTGATGATGTTCTTCGTGATAATGATGATGGTAATGGTGATGATAATGATGATGATGAAGATGGTCATGAGGATATTGATGATGATGATGTTGATGATGATGGTGGTGGTTGTGATGACGGCGATGGTGACGGTGATGGTGATGGTGATGGTGATGGTAATGGTGATGATGGTGGTGATGGTGATGCTGGTTTTTTGGTGATGATGATGACGAGAACGATAACGACGATGACGACGATGCCGGTGATGGTGGTTGTGGTGATGGTGATGATGGTGATGATGATGATGATAATGATGGTGATGATGATGATGGTGATGGTGATGGTGATGGTGATGGTGATGGTGATGGTGTTGGTAGTGGTGACGGTGATGATGATGATGATGATGATGATGATGATGATGATGATGATGATCATCATGATGATCATGATGATCATGATGATGGTGATGGTGACGGTGATGGAGAGACTGATGATGGTGGAGGTGATGAGGGTGGTGGGTTTTTTGATGATGAGGCTGATGATGGTGATGGAGGTGATGGTGATGGTGATGGTGCTGATGATGATAGTCATCATCGTACGCATACGCTGTTCCCTGGACCCAGAGTGGGCCCCCACTATCCGCGTGGGTGCGCAGCTGCCGCCCTCCCAGCCCGGCTCCTCTTCCTCGCCTTTTTCTTCAAGGGAAGAAGTACGATGATCAGAACCGAGATATCAAGGGATCCTTTCACCACCGATCTTGGTCATGGTCCATGCCAGCCGTCGCCGACTCGCGAGGATGGTCCACGAATTAACAATAACCGAGATTCGAAGAACAAAAATTAGCCTGGCGAAGGACCCAACCATATGCAGTTGTGAGTGCCGCAGTCATCGTCGTCGGTGCAGCTCTTTGTGGGCGGGGTGGGGGGGGGGGGGGGGGGGGGCGAAACGCGTGAGAGGTGTGCCAAAGTGGGATGGCGTCGGCGGCACGCGGGCGCTGCCACTGGGGCCTTCGGTGGAGCACCCCATGGGGCCACGAAACGTGTGAGGGGTGCGCCGAAATGGAGGTTGAACTGCATGCGGACCCTGCCGCTGCTGGGGCCTTCGGTGGAGCACCTTATGGGGTCACGAAACGTGTGAGGGGTGCGCCGAAATGGAAGTGGAACTGCATGCGGACCCTGCCACTGGGGCCTTCGGTGGAGCACCCTATGGGGCCACGAAACGTGTGAGACTGCATGCGGACCCTGCCACTGGGGAATGGTGCCACGAAACGTGTGAGGGGTGCGCCGAAATCGGGGTGGAACTGCATACGGACCCTGCTGCTGCTGGGGCCTTCGGAGGAGCACCCTATGGGGCTACGAAACGTGTGAGGGGTGCGACGAAGTGGAGGTGGAAACGCATGCGGACTCTGCCACTGGGGCCTTCGGTGGAGCACCCTATGGGGCCACGAAACGTGTGAGGGGGTGCGCCGAAATGGAGGTGGAACTGCATGCGGACCCTGTCACTGGGGCCGTCGGTGGCCACACCATGAGGGGTCACGAAACGTGTGAGGGGTGCGCCGAAATGGAGGGGGATGCGGACCCTGCCACTGGGGCTTTCGGTGGAGCACCAGTGTGAGGGGTGGGTGCACCGAAATGAGATGGAACGGCATGCGGACACTGCCACTGGGGCCTTCCATGGTGCTCCGAAAGGGAAGTGAAACTGCATGCGGACCTTGCCACGGCGGCCTTCGGTGGAGCACCCCATGGGGCCACGAAACGTGTGAGGGGTGCGCCGAAATGGAGGTTGAATTGCATGCGGACCCTGCCGCTAGAGCCTTCGGTGAAGCACTTGATGGGGCCACGAAACGTGTGAGGGGTGCGGAGGTGGACCTGCATGCGGACCTTGCCACTGGGGCCTTCGGTGGAGCACCCTATGGGGCCACGAAACGTGTAAGGAGTGCGCCGAAATTGGGGTGGAACTGCATGTGGACCTTGCCGCTGGGGCCGTCGGTGGAGCACCCTACGGAGCCACGAAACGAGTGAGGGGTGCGCCGAAATGGAGGTGGAACGGCATGCGGACACTGCCATTGGGCCTTCGGTGGAGCACCCTATGGGGCCGCGAAACGTGTGAGGGGTGCGCCAGAATTGGGGGTGGAACTGCATGCGGACCCTGCCACTGGGGCCTTCGGTGGAGCACCTTATGGGGCCGCGAAACGTGTGAGGGGTGCGCCGAAATTGAGGTGGAACTGCATGCGGACCCTGCCATTGTGGCCTTCGGTGGAGCACCCCATGGAGGACATGCGGAGGGCAGAGGCAGGGAGGGGAGGAGGAGGAGGAGGAGGAGGAGGAGGAGGAGGAGGAGGAGGGAGGGGAGGAGGAGGAGGAGGAGGAGAGGAGAGGAGAGGAACGCGGAGCACTATCTCTTCAAGACGAGAACCCAGCGGACTTCCGAAAGTGTATGTGTATGCCGCGGGCGGTGCCGCCGCATCGCCCCGCCGTCCCCCGCTCGTCGCCCGGCGTCCCTTCCTCTGCCCGCAATCTTCGTCTGCCCCTCGGCTCCGTGCGCTAAGCGGGCGCCGCGTCGCTGGAGGTCAAGGGCGCCGCCTCCTCCTCCTCCTCCTCCTCCTCCTCCTCCTCCTCCTCCTCCTCCTCCTCCTCCTCCTCCTCCTCCTCCTCCTCCTCCTCCTCCTCCTCCTCCTCCTGGGCGCTGGGTGCTGATGGCTCTGGTATTGTATCCGCTCCCCCTCTTCCTCCTCATCCTACTCCTCATCCTCATCCTCCGCCTCGTCGTCCTCCTCCTCCTCCTCCTTCTCCTCCTCTTCCTCATCCTTCTCTCCTCATTATCCTTCTCCTCCTCGTCCTCCTCCTCCTCCTCTTCCTCCTCTGCTCCCTCTCATCCGCCTCCTCATCCTTCTCCTACTTCTCCTCCTCCTCCTCCTCCTCCTCCTCCTCCTCCTCATCATCATCATCATCATCATCATCAGCATCAGCATCAGCATCAGCATCAGCATCATCATCCTGCTCCGCCCCCTCCTCATCATCCTGCTCATCCTCCTCCGCATCCTCCTCCTCATCCTCCTCTTCCTCCTCCTCCTCCTCCTCATCCTCCTCCTCCTCTTCCTCCTCCTTCTCCTCCTCCTTCTCCTCCTCCTCATCATCATCCGTTTCCTTGTAGGCTGGCAACTCGTCGCGCCGCGTCGACGCGGAGGCCGCGCTTGCGATGGCGTCCATGATCATCGCCAGTGGCCAGAAATCGGCCAAGATCAAGAGGCTTGTGCTAGCGGAGAGTCGCGATCGCTCAAAGGGAGGAGGAGAACCAGAAAGAGAAAGACGAGGAGGAGGAGGAAGAGGAGGCGGGGCAGGAAGAGGAGGAGGTGGAGGAGAAGGAGGAGGAGGAGGAGGAGGAGGACGCGGAGGACGCGGAGGATGCGGAGGAGGACGGGGAGGGGAAGGGGGAGGGGGAGGGGAACGGAAACGTGGAGGAGGACGGGGAAGAGAACAGGGAGGAGGATGAGGAGGATGAGGAGGAGTAGGGAGGCGGAGGAGGAAGGGTGGAGGAGGAAGCGCGGTGGAGGGAGGAGGGCGAAAGGACGGCATGCGCAGCTTGTGGCCCCGCACGTCGCGATGCACGGGCCCCCCAAGCGGTGCGGAGGTACGTGCACGGCCTGGACGAGGACCCCGCCAGGGCAACCGCGGCGGCACTCGGCAAGGCTCGGCGCGGGCCTGGGTCCATCCATGCTGCTTCCGCTCGCCGCCCCGGTTTCCACCGAGGAGCGGCTTCCGCGCAAGTTCGTTCTCGGCGGGTTGGTGTCACTTTTACGCGGACGCGACCCCTCCAGCTTCGAGCCTTCTGCCCGTTTTGCTAGGATATCAGGTGGCCCCCCTCGCGGCCACGGCTCGACGCGGCTCGAGAGACCAGCCAGAAAAATGTATGAGATTTTGTTGCGAAGTTGTCTTCGGCAGATTGGCGCAACCTCGGTGCGGCGGCGACACAGGCGCTGGCGTTCCAGGCCAAACGTCCTCCGAGGACCGCTCGCAGCCACCGAGGCCCACAAAGAGCAGCCCGCGTCCTCTCCTCTGTGGCGGCCAGGCTTCGTTCGGAATGGTCGACTCCAGTGCACGATATGCCGTCCGAGAAGTCGCATTGTGACTCCGTTGTGTTGGTGGAGCTCTCGTGAATTTGCCCAGAAATCCACTTCGAGGACATGGGATTTGGTCTATCCGCGTTTCGTCCCCTCAGCGATTCCCATCTTGAGTCTCCCAACATTCCTTGCGCTGGAAAAAAAAGCCCGTTGAACCCGTGCGACAGATGCGGTCGGCAATCTCCAGAGACTTCCGAGAGCAAAGATCGCTCAAGGTTGAACGGCTCACCGCGGGGCCTGACATTGCGGCCCACGTCGTCGAGGCAGGAGCTTGCCATATTGTGTATCAGACGCGTCCAAAGAAGCTCGTGCTCTTCGTCGTTGAGCGTAGTGGCGGAGGCCTATCGCCATTCAGGCTTCCTCCTCCTCCGAGCATTAGGACCAGAGCGAAGACCAGCTGCAACAATACAGACGCCCGTACTCGTCCGGCCTCCAGTCCCTGGAGCTCCGGGCCGCCAGCGTGTGGGCGCTTTGTGGGGATCATTCCTTCGAGTCGAAAGGAAGAGGAAAAAGAGCAGCTACAGAAGGCAAGAGGAGGACGACGACGACGACGACGGCGATGAGGACGAGCAGGAGGCGGCATCCCCACGCCTGGAAGCCCGGGCTAAGAGGTAGGGAGGGCGGGGGCTTGACTCGTTCTTTCACAACTCATGCCACACGTTTTGGGGCAAGCAATACTTCCATGCACTTTTGCGTGCACATCATCAGTGCTGTCACTCTGGCTCGGAAGACTCCCGCAAGGGACGAAACGCCAGCGCGATACTGCCAAAACAAATGCATGGGCGCTGGCCGAAATTTTGGTCGATTCAAGTCCACTTGAAATGCCGCGGTGGGCGTTAAGGTGAAGCGCGCCGATTTCGGCCAGGTCCGGGACCTTGGACGGGCCCAAGACCCTTCTGTTCCCTTCCTGGGCCTTTGCGAACAAAGCCGACGTCGATGATGCATGCCCGCGCGCAAACACAAATGCCTTCGTTCATTGTCTGGCCCGAGTGCCGTGACATGAGGATGATGAGGAGGAGGAGGACGAGGACGAGGAGGAGGAGGAGGAGGAGGACGAGGACGAGGACAAGGAGGAGGAGGAGGAGGCGGAGGAGGGCAAGGCGAGGGAGGAGGAGGAGGAGGAGGAGGAGCAGCGGAGCGCCCTGAGCCCCCGCTGAGCCCGCGTGCGCGATCGCGCTCGGCCCCGCGGGAATCCGACGGGCCGCGCCGCCGGCGGCCTCCTCGCCTGCGCCACACGTGGGCCGCCGGCCTGGCTCTCCAGACATGCGATGCCTCGAGTACGTTTTCCATGCGGAGTCCCCGGGGGCACCAGGCTCCAGGCCGCGAGAGCGTGGATGCGAACACGCTCGCCGCTCATGAGACCCGTCTTCGTCGTCGTCGTCGTTCGTCGCTCGTCGCTCGAGAGACCCGTCGTCGTCGTCGTCGTCGTTCGTTCGCTCGTTCGTTCGTTCGTCGTTCGTCGGCATCGTCGCCGCGGCAGGGCCGCCCCCCTCGCGCCGCGCCCTCCTGCGCGCCGCCGGCCCCTAGCCCTGCGCTTCCCCGGGACAGGCTCCTCATCCTGAGTAGCGTGTTCCAGCCATGCGCAGAGCGGGAGGAGGAGGAGGAGGAGCAGGCGGCGGAGGAGGAGGACGAAGAGGAGGAGGAGAGCTCGCTACCCGGGCGCGCTGGTTATCCCGTTCGTTGTCGAAAGCCACGGAAGATTCGGCGAGCATAGGCCAGCCACGCGCAGAGGGGGGTAGGGGGGAGGGGGAAGGGCTTCTTAGAGGCACCCCTGCTACTCAGAAGGCTCGGACCTTGTCTGTAGATGTGGGGCTGGCGCCTTCTAAGAAGCAGACTACTTCTAAGATGCCTTCCCCCTCCCGCCTACCCAGCTCTGCGTGCCGCCAATTTTGGACGGACACCAGGACCCGTGAGAGCCCCCAGGGGCCGACGATAGCAGAAAAGCCTCCCGTCGTGATTTTTTCGTGACCCTCCGCAGCTTGTCACTCCGCAGCCTGTCACTCCGCAGCCTGTCTTGGCCCAAAGCGGCCCCCGAGCGGCCCAAAGGGCCGCCCCGAGGCGCGCGCGCAGCGACGACCCGGCCAACCTCGCGGTTACGGCGCTGCCTCCGCCCACGGCGCGGCGGCGGCGATGCCGGCGCGGTCGCTCGCCATCCGCCGCCTCGCCCCGGGCCCGGCCCAGGGCTGCCAGCATCGGAGGGCGCCAATGGCCCAGACCCCGTCGAGTCATGAAGAAATCACGACAGGAGGTTTGTCGCGGTGTTCTGCCATGGGGGGCCCTCACAGGGCCTCGAGACCGTCAAAACATGAGTCAGGATGAGAAACCGATCCCAGGGAATGACGTTATGAAGAAATCATGACGTCGGGGGTCAGGGTATACATCTGCACCGGTCCTGGACAGGCCCGTCCTGGGCACGGGATCGGTGCACAGGCCCTCCTGGCCAAGCCAGGATGGGCGCATGCAGCGACCCTGTGCCCAGGAGGGGCCTGGCCAGGATCGGTGTGGGTGCATGGTTGGCGTCTTCCTGCACCATCAGCTCTCCCGTGCCGCTCTGTGTTGCCGCGCCTTCGCGGCGGCCACGCAGCTCGAGGACGCTGCGGCTGCCGCGGCGGCGCGCCGACCCGCGCGGGCGAAGGGCCGCACCTCGGGACCTCCGAGGGCGCGGCGCGCGTTCCCCACCTTGGCCGAGCCGTTGAGGCTGCCGCGTGAGGGCCCGGCTTGGCCTCGCCGGGATGGCGGCGTGACAAGCGTGGCGTCGGTGACGATGCCGTCCGTGTCGGGGCCGCTGCGGTTGGTGGCCTTCAAGGCGCCCGTGGGTGACATCCTGGCCGTCGTCAGCGGCACGGGGAACGGCTCCCAGGTCCCCGTGCGCGTGCACGACGCGTGCCTCACGGGCGAGGTCTTCGGGTCGCTGAAGTGCGATTGCGGGCCCCAACTTCAGCAGACTCTCGCGGCCCAGACGGAACGCAGACTGGGCGTGCTAATTTACATGCCTCAGGAAGGTCGCGGCATAGGGCTCGCGAACAAGATGGCGGCCTACTACATGCAGGAGGAGCACGGTCTCGACACCGTTGATGCCAACCTTGCCCTGGGACTGCCTGCAGAGAGCCGCGACTACAGCGCAGTGAAGTACGTGCTGGAGGAGTTGAGCATCTCCTCCATCTTGCTCATGACCAACAACCCGTACAAGGTGGATCGACTCCGTGCTGCGGGCGTTCAGGTCGACGGCACGCTGCCCGTGACGGTGACGCCCACGTCTCCGGTGACGGCCAGATACTTGGAGACCAAGCGCAGGCGGATGGCGCACATGCTTCCGCCGCAGCTGGCGCAGGCTGTTGCTGGCTTCGGGGCGCAACGCCCTGTGGTCAACGGGGAGAGCATCAACGGCAGCGCTGCTGTCGGCGTACCTGACTGGCAGGTTGCCAGCAGCACAGTCGAGCTGGAGGCGTCGCTCGCCGGCAGCGGCGCCTCGGCGGCGGATGGCAGCGGAGCCAGGCTGGACCCGGCCGCCGCTGAGCTGGTCGCGGGCCTGAGGCTGGAGGCGGAGGCTCACAGCGGCGACAGGCCCTTCACGCTCCTGAGCTTCGCCAGCTCCATGGACGGCTTCATCGCCGGGGTGCGCCGGCGGCCAGACGGCACGGAGGAGAAGCACCCCGTGGCGCTCAGCGGCGCGGCTTCGGCGCTGCTCACGCACCACCTCCGCGGCTCGTTCGACGCCATCCTCGTGGGCGTGGGCACGGTGGCCACCGACGACCCGCGCCTCGACGTCCGCGCCGAGCGGGCGGGGCCCTCGCCGCGGCCCGTCGTGGTGGACAGCGACCTGCGCCTGCCCGTGGGCTGCCGCCTCCTCGCCCATCGGGCGCGGGGCGGGCGGCCGCAGACCCTCATCCTCTGCACGGAGGAGCGGCTCGGGGCCGGCTGCGAGAAGGCTGCCCGCAGAGCGGCGCTGGAGGCCGCCGGCGCCCTCGTCGTGCCCTGCCTGGCCGACGAGCGGGGGCGTGTCTGCCTGCGGGACGCCTGGGGCCGCCTGCGGGGCGCCGGCGTGCGATCCGTGATGGTCGAGGGGGGCGCCGGGATCATCTCGGGTGTTACTAGAACTGTGCCGGGCCCAACCCAGATCTCCGACGATGAGATGGTTTCAATTTGGACGTCGTTCCTCGATTTCGGCCTTTGGGGTCAGTCATTGAGCCCCAGGACGATCAAAAATGGACCCGGGACGACAAAACACCAGAAGTTGGGGGTACCTTTGGCCAGGGGCACTTTTAGCAAACCCCGATCATCGAGGGCCTTCTCCGAGCAGGGCACCGCTTGGTAGACGCTGTCGCGGTCACACAGGCAGGCGTGATCCTCGGCAGCGGCGTGCGCTGGGCAACGGCGGGCGGCGCGCTTCTGGGCGACGTGCGCACTGTGTCGCTCGGCGCCGACGCCGTATTTGTCGGCAAATTTTCACCGGGAGCGGGCCCGCCAGCTGCGAGAGAGTGAGCCGCCGCCCCTCGCCAGCGGCCCTTGCCTGGGCCCATTGGCTCGCAATATTGGATGCCGTATTTTTCGTCCTCGTCCTTGCAATTAAGCGCTTTCGTGTGGGTGGTGGGGGGGGGAAGGGTGGGTAAGGGCGAGCGTGAGGAGTGAATGAGTCAGATCTGGCTCCTGACGAGCTGGGTGCGCACGCCCGCCGATGAGCTCGAGTGCGCGCCGAGGCGGGGCCGCCCCTCTGCGGCGAGGCCGGCGCTGCTGAGATCCTGCTTGGCGCGGTGCGTCGGAGGGGCCCCGATCTTGAGCGGCGCCTCCTCGCCTCCGGGCCCTGACCCCTGGCGTGGAGCGCGTATAGGGCACTCGAGACGGGGCTCGGGCGGGGAGGCGGGTGGGTGCGGAGCCGGGCAGGTGCCCCCCAGGCTGTTCCCCTCCACGGAGCGCATGCTCCGCGAGATGAATTTGGAAAGCCGTCCGAGCGGGCGATTTTTCAGGAGCATTCCAGCGCCTGCCCGGTGATCCTCGAAGAGCGCGTTTTGTCTTGTCTGCAGTGTGCGTCGTGTTGGTTTTTAAAGTGTGTTTCCGAGGAGGAGAACGAGTCATGGCAACACACCTCCCCTATGTCCTTCTATTCCCGCTCTCCTCCATCCCCCTTCCTTGTACAGGCACACCCCCTGTCCCACCGCCAGGCGCGTCCGTAGGCCATGCCAGGCGGTTCGCTTGAGACTTCCTTACCATGTGCTCGCCTGAGGTTGAACACTTCAGCGATAAGCTTCAAGGATGAAGGGCAAGTGGTTTCAAAAATGCTGCACTGTCGCTCACATTCGTTTCTAAAGCTATCAATAATTTCTAGGATGGCTGGTTTTCCAAAAGCGGCTCTCGCCTAAGCGCCATGCAAAGTCGCTTACGGTAGGTCCCTGTCGTGCCGACCAGCGGCGACCCCGCCGCCGGCGCTCAACGTTGAATGCCGGCGGCGACCCAGAATCGGTCGATGTTGAACGATTGGACGAAGCGGAAGCGGCCGATCGTTCAAGGTTGAACGATCCAGCGCGGTGTCAGGAACCAACGCCAGGGTCGACACGGCACGGACTTGCCGTGAGAAATTGCAGCAGTTTGAAGGATGCCCCACGGTTGATTCTCAACATGTGGCAATCGCCGCAGCGCCGCACACATTCTTGCTACAACATTAGCCATTTCAAGGATGGCGGTCCGCTGGTTTTTCAAGATACGGCTCCCGCCCTAGCGCCGCGGTCATTTATTGCAAAGGCTTGCGATAGTTCAAAGAACAGAGAATTGCTGCTTATAAAAGTGGGCATCTCACTTTTAGTTCCGTGCACACTCGTCTGAACTGGCTGCAACTGCGAATTACAAGGATGGAAGGTGGCTGATTTTCAAAGTGGGCTCGCGCTTCAAACGTTCCTTCATACAAAGGGTAGACGCTGGAACATCTGTAACAGCTGCCAGGGAGGAGAGCGATCCTTTTTCGAAACGGTATTTTCATTCGAGACGTCCTCAAATTGAATGACCCATGACCAGATTTGTAATTTAGTTTGCCACGGTTACACGGAGAGGGAAACGGTTCCATTTGTTTAAGGAGGTCTCGTTGTAAATTTCGCTGACTCTTGTGATCGTTTCTATTCGTGATGTTTACCACTGGCTAGAAGGATGCGAGACAGCTCCTCTCAAGTCGAGGCCCTCGCCTGAATGGCAAGTGCACGGGGTGCTCGTCGTTCAGCGAGGCAGTTCCTGAAGTGATAAGGAAGGCTTGTAAGTAGGGAATCATGAAGAGGAGACGTGGGACGGGTGGGTGGTTTGTTGCATCGTCGATGCATCCCGGGGTTAATCTGGTCCTCTTCCTCCTCCTCCTCCACTTGTCTTCTTCCTCCTCGTCCTCACTCAGTTTTCCTCCTCTGTCTCATTGTCATCCGGTTCCTCGTTCCCCTCCTCTTCCTTTTATTGAGGAGGTGTTGAGAAGAGGAGCGGAGAGTTGAGAGGAGAGGGGCAAGCCTGGAACACGTGCGCCACGTCTGACATCCGAACCCCCTCGACCCATCCCTTCCCATTGCGTTGAATGACTTTCATCCGCCGACTGATTCCCCAATGGAAGTTGCAGGACTTGGCCCATCAGTTGCTGCGTAATCGGACAACGGAGGGCTTTGCAATGGAGGAGGCGGAGGAGCACCAACAACAGGTGGTAGAGGAGATCGGAGAAGGATCCGTACGGAGGAGCAGGAGGAGTGGACGGAGAAAGGAGCAGAAGGATCAGCCGAAGGCGGAGGAGGGGAAATGAGGGGCGGCAACGACGCGAAACGAATCGGATCTGGGAATGAGGCTCGAGCTGGGGCGAGAGCGCCATCCTGAACGACGGGGGCAGACCACCGATCTTGGGGCCAGCGCTGCAGCAGGAGCACCAGTTTTGAAGGGCCAAGGACGTTTCGATATCACGTGTGCGAAAACAAGACGTGGAGGAGGAGGAGGAGGAGGAGGAGGAGGAGGAGGAGGAGGAGAGGAGGAGGACTAGGCGAACGAGGAAGAGAAAGAGGAGGAGAGCGAACAGGAAGGCCAGAGGCCTCTTGGATGCTTCTCGGAGCCTCTTCGGGTGTCTCTCGAGAGCCTCTTGTAGGCCTGTTAAGGCGTCTTGGGGGCCTCTTAGGGGTTCCCGGTGACTTCTTGGAGTGTCTTCGGTGCCTCGGGGTGTCCTCTTGGGGGTCTCTTGGGAGCCTCTTGGGGGCATCTTTGGGGCGTCTTGGGGCCTCTTGGGGCCTCTTGGGGCCTCCTGGGCGCCTCTTCGGGCTCTCTTGGGGCACTCGGGAGCCTCGGGGGCCATCTTGGAGGTGATCTATCAAAGAAGCAGGGATACTCAATTAGCGTTTCTCCCCCAGGAGGCCAAAATTGGCCAAAACCTTAGTACAATCAATGATGTTGGCTTTGTCGCCGAGGCCATCTTGGACGCTCCAATGTCTCGCGACCTCCCTCCTCCA